CGGCCGATTTCTAATAACTTATTTTTCTGCTAATAGTTCCTTGAACTTCGGAGACATCATTAATATAAATAATTTTAATCGCCGTTGAATAAGAAATGTTTCTTTCACAAGAAATGTATAAAATTACAGTACTGTATTAGACTTACGGTACCTAATTTACATACTGACAGACGATAGTTAGGCCTAAAATCTCCGTAGCGTGGCGCCACGCTAGACGGCGAAAATTATATATTTAATTATAATAAAGTTACAATAAGTTAATATATAATTATATATACAGTACCTAATTTATATATAATACTGTACAGACGATAGCAAACTCAATTTAGCTGTTCTGTAGCGTGGCGCAGGGCGGAGGAAAGTAGTTCGGCTGCTCATCCACTATTGGTCCAGATTCTATCAATTTTGTCGCAAAATGAGTCGGCGACGACGTTTTAGGAGCTCCTTTAAACGAATGTTGCTGCAATTTTTTTTGCTACGTTATAGGAATTTCCGTTATAGGAACGCATGTTATAGGGGGGTCGACTGTATTTTTGGTCTTTGTATTTGTGTGATACTATTTATTAAGTTCACGAAGTCCTTGGCAGTTTGAGTTCTGGAGCTTAATGTCCATAAATACAGAGTGGTGAAGTCAATCACCAGATGCAAATATTGTTTCTTCAAATTGTGTTTCTTAAATCCTGCCACTGTATCAATTGCTATAACATCAAAAGGATCTGTGGCTGGGAGATGGGACAGCTCTCTATACTTTCGACTATGGTTTATTTTATTAAACTGGTAGACCCCACAGCTATTTACAAAAGTGGATACATCTTTCAACATATTAGGCCAGGTGTACATGCTAGATATTAGTCATAACATTGTCTTTGCCGCTGTCTCCAAAGTTTTTGGCTCTCTTTCAGCAGTCTGTATCTAACCCCTTTTTTGCCTACTTTTTTTTAACATAACATAAAAAATACTTAACAAACATAAAAAATACTTAAAACTGAAAAAACGAAAGAAATGCGTTAATTTTGAAGAAAAAGCTTCAAAGTTTAACTTCCTTTGTCTCGCCTTTCTGTGAAATTTGACACTGATGAGTCATTGTGTTTACAGCTGGATGACCTTGAGAACATCTGGTGTCGGATTTCCCGGGACATTCTCATAGACATCTCGGGAGGACAAGGGTTTAAAGTAGGGTGAATACTAGCTGGTGGTATATTTTTAAATATTTTTAAAAAATTAAAATTTTAATTGCAATTTTTGACCCCCTCCCCTGATTTAATTAATTGTATATATAATAAAATATATTAATTTAAAAAATTAAAAAACTATTGGAGGTCATTTTTGATATCAGAAACTAGCTTTAAATAACTTTACCGAAGTAAAATCCGTGCACTACAACTTTAGAACGATTAATTGAATTTGATTTTGAAAGATCACATTAAAAAACAATTAAGCGTTAATTGCGCATCATTAAATGTTGATTAAAATTGCAATAAAATTTTTTTGCGTGGGAAAAATTTTTTTTTAAAATTTGGAGACAAAAAACATTCCAAAAATCAAAAAAAAAATTTCCAGGAGGGCCTAAAAGACCGATTTTTCGTAACGCTATGGGACATGCTCGAGTCAGACTCTAGCATGGGGCAGAAGGGGCTAATAGCTAAGGGACTTTGGTATCACAATTCTCATTTTATCTCCTTTAGTTTTTACGATTAAGCCATTTCATTTATGATCATTTCTGATGGTTAGTTCATGTTTTCATGCTGACTTAAGGTCTTCTCTTTGA